ATGTACAAAGACTTGAACCAACCCATCTCCACAAACCCTCACACAATCCCTCTCCTCTTCACTCATACTCCACAGACACATCACTCTTTCACAGACACTACCAATCTCCACACCAAAGTCTAAACTCTAGCACCTACCTTACTAACAAATTGCAGCGAAGGAAGTTTAACTGTTATAATGACTCCGGGAGATTTACACTTGGTGACCACAAAATAGATGACACAGAGGGAAGGCACCAGGAGACAAGAGACCAAAACTGCTTGGTCAGCAGGGCAGAGCATATACACAAAAGCTCTTTGACCTCAGAATGTCTTGCAGAGACTCAATGCTGTCATAATTTGTTAAAGAGGGACTTGTACACACCTGTATCAGACTACAACATGATTTCAGTTGAATCGCAAGACTCTTATACCCAGCCATCTTCACACAATCAGGCCTTTCCTGTACCTCCTCCTCAGCTGTACAATGGACTCTCTCCAGCTTCCTCCAAGTCCAAGAGCCTGGGAGACCTGACCTCTGAGGACATTTCATGTAACTTTCAGAGCAAGTACAAGTCAATCAGCCGAAGTTTTGTCACTCCTGCAATGAAAGACCAAAGACGGATCTGTGGGTTGTCTGGTCGTCCGAAGTCCACTGATCCCTTAACTGAGCAGCTTCGCAAGCTTGTAACGTTGGAAAATGAAGACTATGCGCGCCCCCTCCCCTCTTGTTCACAACTCATCCCAAAACCCCTTTCAGTGCTCCCTCTGGTTTCTCAGAGCTCTGCCGATGATCCTGAAGACCCTCCACCATTTCTGTCAAGGCGACTGTCGTCCCGCAGTCAAAGTCGTGTACGTCATATAGCCAATCGCGCACGTGAGAGACAGCAGGAGGCTTTCAAACACCGGCCTGTTGAGGGTGCCATGGAAGTAGTACTCCGTAATAAACCAGTCTCCTCCCAAAATCCTCCACCGAACAGGCATTCTACAGGCTCCTATATCGCTGGTTACCTGGACCAGCTGGGTCCTGAGGCCCGAGGCTTGCCTGAAGGAGCCTGCACCTCACTACGCTATGGATACGGAGATCGCTACTATAATGATGATTCTGTACTCCCTCCTGACTTCTCCAACTCATCAGAACCTGAGGTCTTCTTCCTACTTAGGCTTTGACCTTGCATCTCACCTGCTGTTTTTGACTGTGCATGTATTTCCTAGTAACAGTTGCAACTGTTGCAAATGTAGCAGGACACTTCCAGAACTGTGTACATACGGCATATAACATGGTCTCCTATATGTGCTACTCCTGCTGTATTTAACTAATTATTTTATATACATGTGGTCCCTGTCATGCTTAAAAAAATATTGTTCAAAATGTGTGTTGTCTCAAGGTTAAAAAAATAATAACAGTAAATAATTGAATTGGATATTTCTTGCAGACATTTTTGTTGTTGTCAGCTATTTGTTCTTTTTTAAACTATGAAGTACCACAAAGTCATGAAGAGGCTTCTCTTTTTATTCAGTCTTCCTGCATATTATGTTATTTGTATGTCTGTGTAGTTTGTACATATGTTGGTAAATTTATCCTCAGTCAAAGCACTATTGGTTTTCATTTAAATTTTAACTACTGTGATGTTTTTTCTTTAGCATGTGAACCGTGAACATTTTCAGCATGACTATGCACAGACCTGTAGATGCTGTGCTCTAATTTTGCACAGAATGATTCTGTTGTATTGAATGCAATACAGCACATTTACCTGCTTGCTCTGACTTGCTTGCTTTCTATTAGTCATGAATTTAAAGAAGTTTGAAACTCTTCTTCATATTCTAAAGCTGTATGGTTAAAGTTTTATTTTTATAATTGCTTTGATACAGAGAGCAAAAATAACATTTGTTAGACTTAATATTTAGTTTTATTTTTAAAGAGACAAAAAAAAAAACAAAGCTTTTTTTCAACTCCTCTGTGCTTAAAGATATCTAGTCTGTTGTTCTTTTTATTGTTGCTCATCCAAGATGAGTGTAAGCATTTTCCTACCAATGCAATAAAATTATGAAATGTTTGTTATGAGGAAAAATATATTTTTGTGTGGTTTCTCTTATCTACTTGTCTAATAACGGTATATCCAATTGTAATTTTTATTCTATATTCTTTCATTCTCTGTTTTGGCATTGCCTCGTGTATATTTACCTCCTAGATGCAAATGTCCTTTCCTTTAAGGCTGCAAAATGTTGTAAACTAGGTTGCTGTATTCCATGATGGTGTTAGTCTCTGAGTAACAGCAAACATAAAAACAGCCTCATGCTGATGTTAGACAGGACTGTTTTGACAGGAAAACTCAGATGAGAGTTTGTAATTAAAGATCAGGCTTTCTCGCAGATGGGGCTTTGTTGTTTTAAGTCTGAAGATAACTGTGTCTCACTGCCCCACACTTCCAAGAATACCGAATGTCCCTGTGCAGCTCTATCTAACCGTGAACTCATCAAAAATTATTGTGTAATTGACTTTAATTCTGTAACTCAGAGGAGGTGCAATTTGGCCCCATGTTGTTTTCTCTGGCCCTTGTTTTTCTACTGCTCTTTTGGGACTGTGGTCAAAAGAAATATCTCTTCTTGCCCTATACGCACGAGGGTGCAAGAAGAGCTGGTAACGCCAAACTTGATCAATGTCTTTACAAGTCTTATTGCTGCTCCCACTTTCTGTGCTGGTGCTTTTACTGTGTGCAGTGTGTGGGGCTGGGATGGGGTTTTCTGTGGTAGAAGAGACTCTGCAGGAAAAGTGTATGAACTTGGACGCTTCACAGAACTTAGACGGTGATGGTTTCTACCAGGATGGTGATGTGATTATTGGTGCTCTCATTAATGTACATAACCTTGCTGCAACTCCTGACCTGAGCTTCACCAGAAAAACAGAATTAGCGCCATGCTTAGGGTAAGTGATGTGCCCTTTTTCATTCTCTTTCCCATCTCTCTCCACACCTGTAAAGTACATGGAGTCTGTGTATTGATGTGTTTGGCAGAATAATATTTTATAAACGTGTACTGAATTTGTTCTCTGAGATTTTCCCTGCAGGTGTAGGATTTTCAATACAAAGATTTAATATATTAAATTAATACATTTATACATTAAATGTATATTTATTTATTTGATTAATTTGGGTTATGTATAACCGTAGCTCATGTTTAAGGTTAACAGGATTGTTAATGAAAAGTGCCTTTGTGTGTGTACAAATCTACATGTATGAACATTTAAACAAAATGTATTTATGTTCATTGGTTCATTGAGTGTTTATAGAATTCTGTTTTATACAAGTTTGTATTGTTTTTTTTGTTTTTTTTTTAATTATGATTATTATTATTACCATGTATTGCAATTTATTGCTCATTGGTAGTTAATTCTGGTTAATGCATTAACTAGCAGGTTATGTGTAAAGTGTTACCCTTGTACTTTATCAATTTAAATACTTTTAAATACTTTTTACCCATGTTTTTTTTTTTACCAATCATTTTAAAATATCTTGATCTTAAGTTAAATTTAGATTTATCTGCAGTCACTTTTTTGTAATGTTACATTTCAGTGGCTTTTTTTAAACACAAAACATGCTAATGATGTGAACATAGAGATGTTAACATACTAACTGCAGAATGCTACCTCTCTCTCTCGCTCTCTCTCTCTCTCTCTCTGTATATATATATATATATATATATATACATGTGTGTGTGTGTGTCTGTGTGTTTACAAGATTTTTTTTACTGTACTTGCATTATTCCATCATTATTTACTATATTTATATATAAAAAGTTTGCTCCAAGTTATGCTTTGCGGCACCCCAGACAGAAAAAAAGTCATAATTATACTGGAAATTGTTTGTCTGCTGTCAGTTTTCAGGAACATTCTGTGCACTGGGTTCAGGCGATTGTATTTGCAGTTGAAGAAATTAACCGGAGCCCCTCTTTGTTGCCGGGGGTCCAACTGGGTTATCACATAATGGATAGCTGTTCCCGTTACCCCCAGAGCCTGATGGCAACTATGTCAATGATCAGTGGAGGAAACAAAACTTGCGGCACCACTAGACCCGCCAAGGTCATCATTGGAGATTCTTCTTCTACTCAAAGCATTCTTCTGTCCAGGACCCTGAGTCCCCTGCAGATCGCAGTGGTGAGGTTATATTACCCACCAAGAAATGCTGAAATGCTAGAATTGATGTTTGGTTATTTGAAAATATGCAATATAACATTTAAATGCATGCTCTGTCAAACATTGTTTGAAATATGCTTTCAGATCAGCTACCTGGCCAGCTGCCCATGTCTTAGTGACAGGCAAATGTACCCTAATTTCTTCCGCACTATCCCCAGTGATGCCTATCAGGCACGCACCATGGCACAGATGGCCAAACGCTTCGGCTGGACCTGGGTTGGAGCTGTGGTTGCCGATAATGACTATGGACGCGGGGCTGTGCAGGTGTTTGAAGAGGAAATAAAGGGAACGGGAATCTGCTTGGCCTTTTTTCACACACTCTACCGGGAGCAGTTAGCAAAGGATGTGGCCCGTGCCGCCGCAACAGTCCAAGCCTCTTCTGCCCGTGTGATCCTGGTGTTTTCTTGGTATGTGGATGTAGAGGGGTTTCTTTTGGAACTGATCCGTAGGAATGTGACAGACAGGCTGTTCCTGGCCAGCGAGGTCTGGAGCACTAGCGCCTATCTTTTGGCCAATCCCCAGCTCTACACCATTGCTAAGGGAACACTGGGTGTAGCTTTAAGAAGCGTGCCCATACCTGGTTTTGATGCACATCTCCAGCAGCTACATCCTGCCCGCTACCCTGATGATGAATTCTTGAGGACCTTCTGGGAAAATACATTTGGCTGTAGCCTTACGAAAAGCACTTCCAAGGCTTTTCAGAATGCCCTGCCTCCATGCAGTGGCAGAGAGAGTCTGGAGGGGGTTCAGAGTCCATTTACCGATACTTCTCATCTGACAGTGACGCATAATATTTATTTAGCAGTATATGCTGTTGCTCATGCACTTCATTCTTTGCTGGCGTGCACCCCGCAAAATAACTCTGATCCTAAAATAAAACTAAAGTGCTCCTCTCCAGACAACATCACTCCAGCACAGGTATGCATCTCATGTGACTTTTTAAAAAATATGTTTATAAAAAGACATATTTAAAAATGTATTAATGTCATTGCATCACGTAACAAAATATTAACACAACTATCCAACTGGCATTTATTTTAAAGCACAATTTTCAAACACATTTATTTTAAAGAAAGCAAGCACAATTTTCAAACAAGATATTTCACAATAATAAGTCTTTTTACAAGAAGTTTGATGTTTAAAGTATATTTGTGTTTTATATTTATTTAAATATTTTATTTGAATCAACTGAAAATCATACTCTTTCAGTGCAACTTTATTTACATAATTTATTATCTCCTACTCTTATTCAGATTTTGTCTAAAAACAGCGTATGTATAAGGTTAAAAGGACTGTTAAAGCATGAGCAGTAAAAAATTCAGAACCTTAATTACATACTTATTCAAATGAACACAATTTGAGTGTTTGTTCTATTTGCGGCGACTTCTTCTTAAGTTAACTTTTTAATTAAAGCGTATTTATTCACATTTAAGTATTTGGTATTACTTTTAAGTATCTGCATTAAAATTTTTCATTTTAAGTATCTGTATACTGTATTATTTTTCATATCAATCAATTTTATAGTTGTTCCAAACATATTAAATGTTCTCTCTTTTCCTGATATGTTCAGCTTTTACAGCACATTGGACAAGTTCATTTCACCACTCAGTCAGGAGAAGAGTTTTATTTCCAGGACGGCAGCATGCCACCTGTCTATAACCTGGTGAACTGGCAGAGAGCTCCTGATGGTTCACTTAAGTATGTTTCCATTGGACAAGTGGATGAGAACCAGCTCATTATTCATGAGTCTGCCATTTCATGGCCTGGAGACTCCGGGAAGGTGAGATGGGTTTCTATCTAAACAATTATATAAAGAAGGTGTAATATATTGCGTAATATGTGTTCCCAGATGCCTGTGTCCGTGTGCACTTCTGAGTGTCCCCCTGGGACACGTAAAGCCATTAAGAAGGGTCTGCCAGTGTGCTGTTTTGACTGCCTGCTCTGTACGGAGGGGGAAATCAGTAACAGTACAGGTCATTAAAGTTCTCTAACACTAATTTATAAAGTCACTGAATACCATAAAGCTTTAATTTTCCTCTTTTTATTTTTTCCCTAGGCTCAATAAAATGTTATCGCTGTCCCCAAGAGTTCTGGTCTAATAGTTTCAGAAATGAATGTGTGTCCCGTGAGACTGAGTTCCTCTCCGTTAGAGAAACAATGGGCATCACGCTGATTAGTGTTGCCATTTCGGGTATCATCATCACAGCTACAGTGGCTGTGATTTTCCTGTACCATAAGAGCACTCCGATAGTTAAAGCCAACAACTCAGAGCTCAGTTTCATGCTCCTTCTGTCTCTCAAACTCTGCTTCTTGTGCTCGCTGGTATTTGTAGGCCAGCCATCGCTCTGGTCATGTAGGATTCAACAGGCTGCGTTCGGGGTAAGTTTTGTCCTGTGCATCTCCTGTATTCTGGTCAAGACAATTGTGGTTCTAGTTGCATTTCACTCCACTAGACCTGGATCCTCAGCTCTTATCAAATGGTTTGGACCAGGTCAGCAGAGAGGAAGTGTTCTGGTCTTTGCCAGTGTTCAGGTGGCTATCTGTGCCATTTGGCTCTCTGTCAGTCCACCTTTACCTCACCGTAACTTTGGAATCCAAGGGTCAAAGGTCATCCTTGAGTGCACAGTTGGGTCAGTTGTGGGATTCACCTGTGTTCTGGGCTACATTGGCTTTCTAGCTGTTGTCTGTTTCCTGCTGGCTTTCTTTGCCCGTAAACTTCCAGATAATTTTAATGAGGCAAAATTCATTACTTTCAGCATGCTGATCTTCTGTGCTGTGTGGATTGTATTTGTGCCAGCATATGTCAGCTCGCCGGGGAAGTACAGTGTAGCTGTGGAAATTTTTGCCATATTGGCCTCTAGTTTTGGACTCTTGTTTTGTATCTTTGTCCCAAAATGTTACATTATTTTACTCAAGCCAGAAAACAACACTAAAAGGTTTCTTATGGGAAAAGCATAATTATACATGTGATAAACTTTCTTTTCTGTTTTGTGATTCTGTTACCCTATAATAAAGCTGTTCTGAGTCACAGCCATGTTTGTTTCTGTTATTCATTTAGTGCAAGTGCTTCTCAAATCTGTCCTGAAGATATTGTCCAATTTTCAAAAGTACATTTTCAAAACGGAAAAAAGTAATACTAATAGTAATAATAATAGAGCTAATTCAAAACCTGCTATGAATATTTCCTAAAATGTAGCATTGTCATCTTTCACACAACTTATAACTTATATTATACTCAAAATATAAGGTAGAGTGGGTTGATATCTACAAACCCCTGTAAAAATTGCAGCTTTTAGAGATGTAAAAATGTATTTTACTAATTGCTGGTAAAGCAGTAATCAGCAAACAAGAAATAAGGCACAGGATAGCATGAAATCCCAAGTCAGGTGATTATGCAGAGATATACTTTCGTGTGGGGTGTGAATAAAGGCCTCTTGTAGCGATTCGATGCATTTTTGTAAGAAAAATATCCATATTTAAAATGTTATAAACATTTTATGTCACTTCCGCTGACTGTCATATGAGCAAGCCGTTCCGGTGGATGACATAGTACGTATGCGTTGCGCACATGCCTGTGAGATATGCTAGTCTCGCAAGTTTGTTTACAGGAGCAAAGGAAGCAAAGTTTCCTGACTTTAGCAAAGGAAAACCAGTCTCTTCTTTGCTTATATAGAAATCCTCCTACATTTTTCTTTACAAATCCTTGTTTTGTGCTTCTAATTCGTGACCGGCATTTTGTTTTGCTGTCTCTCCTCCACGCTTCCGCGTTCGTCACTAATCGCGTGTGCGCGACGCGTACGTTCTACGTCATCCGCCGGAACGGCTTGCACGTATGACAGTCAGCAGAAGTGAGAAAAAAGTGTTTATAATGTTTTAAATATGGACATTTTTCTTACAAAAACGCATCAATTCACCACATGAGGCCTTTATTGACCCCCCGGAGCTGTGTGAGGCATGTTTTATTATGGATGCACGTGCTTTTTTGACTACTTTTGGACTCTTGAACAAAAACACCCACCTACTCCCATTCTAACACTTGGAAGAGCAAGGAAAATTATTAATATAACTCTGATTGGATTCGTCTGAAAGAAGAAAGTCATATACACCAAGGATGCTTTGATGGTGAGTAAAACTAATTTTCATTTTTGGGTGAACTAACCCTTTAAATATTGAAATGTCGATCTCAACAAAATGATGGTTTGGATGAAAACTGAACATTGTAACAATGTCGCCTTGCTATTTGGGTTTGAACATCATAGAAAGTCAGTGGAGATAATGATATGAAAACACCCACCCGTTTTGCCTCTTTGTCGCCATCTCTGTTTGAAACCTGCAACTGCAGTTATTTGCAGAGTTATCTTCTTTACGTTGGTTGTGCATTGGCATGACTCCTCAGCATGGATAAATCTAATGTTTGAGGTTTATGTGTGGGCTGTAAGTCATCGCACCAGTGTGGATATTCACTGTAGGCCACTTTGGAATTACAGATACTACGTCTTGGAAGTATGTCCAAAATAAGAAGCTTCACCTGAAAATGTCATATGAAGTAACATGTCTGCCTGTTTTGTTCTGACCAACTGAAAAAAAAAGTTTTATAAGAAATCGCGCTACCATGGTGATTAAAACTAATGATCACAAAGTTAGCTCAGATCACGTCAAACCATGCAAATTAATATTATTGTTATACTTTGTTCTCAAATTGTTAATGTTAACAACATCAAGGTTGCATCTTATGTGTATTCAGTGTGTATTAGCGTTACCTGTATATTTCAATTTCTGAACAGTCTAATCTCTAATTGTCATACAATTCCAATTTCATTGAAATAAACTTTTTTTAACCTCAAAAAGCAATTTAATTTTTCTCAGAACTTGTTCTCTTTCAAATACTAATATTTTGTTAGTACAGTGTAATCCCACGTATCTGTAATCAGATGCACATTTAACCTTCATCCTTCCCTCGAGTCATTTTGACCCTAAATTTGTAATTTTTTTTTTAATTGAGTGTTCATCTGAGTGGTACAAGACTTTGTGACTTTGTTCCACTTGAATTTGGAACACACACACACAAAAAAAATGAGTGGATTTGAGGATGTATGTGGCTGTGATAAAAAAAAAAAAGAAATCCTTCCCTCGTGGGTTATTTTGACCTGACCATAGGAATGAATGGAATGTCGAAAAAAGGTTGGGGTTTTTTATTTAATTTTGTCACAGTTGAACATGGATCACACACACACAAAATTGAGTGGATTCGAGGACTTTATGTGGGTGTAAAAAAGTAACAAATCCTTTCCTTGCGGGTCAATTTGACCCCCCATAGGAATGAATGGAATGTCGAAAAAAACATTTTTATTTTATTTAAAAAAAAAATAAAAAATCTGACACAATCCAGACAAAATTTATATCCAAACGAAGAGCTGAGACTACAGAATATTCCCAAGGCAAAAAACACACATATACCCCCCCTACATGCACACACATGCACACAAACACATACATGGTACACGCACACACATAGAGACATTATAACACGCATGATTAAGGTAAACAAGGTAAATAAAAAATAAATAAAAATCACCAAAAAATCATAAACAACCTACATAAATATTAAGAAATAAAATATAAGAATGGGATCAATATAAACTTTCTGGACCAAAAAAAAAAAGTTTCATTTTAGGCCTTCGGGTCATTTTGACCTGTGAGGGAAAGGTTTGTTACAAAACACAAGGGAAGGATGAAGGTTAAAACTGGAATAGAATGTAATTTTAGTCACTTGCATGTGTTTAATTGCCATCATGCACCATTTAGCTGCTGTATAAATGATCTACAAAGGTTACAAATGATTCGTCACCTGCAGCATCCACACATGCGATATAGCCTACTAGCCGGACTCTTCTTTATGTATACAGATGATGCAAAGACAAACGACCCGAACCACTCAAATTAGAAAACATTATTACAAGCTTACCATTGTAAATTGGGCTAAGGTAAGGAGATAGTTTTGAACACTGATTGGTTATGTACTTGCTCAACAATTGATTTTGGATAATTTTTTAAAAAACATTCAGAATTATTTGCATACATAAGCTTTGGAGCAAAGGCAACATGATCAAAAAATAACCTGTTAGTAGACTATTTATAGTATGTAAGCACTGCTGTTTTATTTTTAGCCATTGTTTAATTCCTCTATTAAAAACATTGCCATTGGTCTCTAATTTTAAATTAGTAGGTAAAGCATTCTAGAGTTTTGACCCCTTCATTGATTTAAACAGATTGACCAAAAGAGGTCTTATACTTTGGACAAGACTGTCACCACTAATAGTGGCTCGTGTGTTTGCCCTAGAGGTCTGACACCTACTGATTAATTCAGAAAACAGCAGTAGTGCATGATTCTTCAAACATAAAAAAAACAAACAATTTAACATAATTAAAATCAATGAAGCTATCAAAGCTAAGAAGGTTATGCTTTCGAAGAACATCACAATAATGCCATCGCAAAGGTTTCTGGTCCATAACTTTTATGTTTGTATATTGAAACAATAGGCTTCAATGTAGTTGGAAAAGTTTGTGACCAAGATGTAATGAAATATAATAAATGTGAAAATATCATTGCATGCATGTACAGTTTTGCAGTTTGACATGACAGATCCCTTCTAATAATACAAAAACAAAATAGATAAAATAAAAATTATACTGACTCCAAGCTTTTGGTATAGTGCATGTATAATGTGTTACAAAAGCTTTTTATTTCAGATAAATGCTGATATTTGGATCTTTCTATTCATCAAAGAATCCTGATGTACTCAACTGTTCAATATTATATTATTATATATAAATATTCATACTACTACTACTACTACTACTACTACTACTAATAATAATAAATGTTTATTGAACAACAAATCAGCATATTAGAATGATTTCTGAAGGATCATGTGACACTGAAGACATGTAACGCCGACCTCATACAGCATGCGCCCAGAACTGCTTCCGTTTACAACAGTGAGCGCAAGCTAGATTAAAGTGATTATTACGTTTTAAATATGGTAATTTTTCTTACAAAAATGCATCGATTCGCTACAGGAGGCCTTTGTTGACTTTTTACACAATATAAGAAGTGGGAAAGCAATAAGTGATACTGCCTATCTTCCTAAATCCATAATACAATTCGTAATATAGTGAGGATAATAGCTGAGGAAGTGGGATGCAATTCGTGGAATAGCCCACCTTCCACAAACACCTCTAAGTGTGATACAACGGGGAAGCCGCCCCATACTATTGTCAAAGTCAAAGTCACTTTTATTGTCACATCACCACAGCACACGTGCCTTGGTGAGTGAAATTCTTGGGAGCGTGCTCCAGACAGTGCAGAAACAATTTACATATAAACATACAGACCTCAACAGATGACAATGTGCAATATGCACATACATATAGTCAGTACACACAGTGTACTATTAGACATACTTACAGTTAGCACTACACATTATACACAGTATGTACATGCAGTTAGCAATACACATTTATACACAGCATGTACACATTCTACATTATGTAGACATATATACACAAAATATGCGAAGGTGCAACAGATTATACATTAACTGGATACGCAAAATGTCATGGATGTGCATTGGATGGTATCCAGTGGTAGCAGATAGATTATTGTGTTTAAATGCAGTGTGTATGTATAGTCCAGTATTGAACTGTTGGAGTTAAAGTGCAGTGTGTGGCCTACCGTATTGTGGGAGTAGGCTGTAGGGTGTATTAGTTCTGATTGTTCATTAGTCTGATAGCTTGAGGGAAAAAGCTATCCCTCAGTCGGCTAGTGCGGGATCGGATGCTGCGGAGACGTCTTCCTGAGGGCAGCAGAGAGAGCAGTCTGTGGGATGGGTGGCTGGAGTCACTGATGATCCTCCGGGCTTTCCTTATACACCGCCTGGTGTAGATGTCCTGGAGGG